CGAGCTCGAGCTCGAGCCCGAGCTTACGAATAACTAAACATTCATAGCTCGATTAGGCATATACAACACTCGACTTGATTCATTTACACCCCTAGTCCATCAGTCTTCCATGAGTGCACAACCCATCTCTTTCCAAATTTGGCTATAGGAATCAAGAAGTGACCTATACTCCTTTCTGCAATCCATAAATAAATTAACTATCATTCTATGATATGCCAGGTGCTTGTATCCAGAACCTATAATAGTAATGACATCAACAACTTTATATGCATATATGGAATTCAAAATATTAAATGGAATGCAAAATTCAAATAACCACCTTGCAATAACCAAATCTTCATGATGTGTTGTTTAGCCAACACTTTTAAGAAATAAGTTGTTATAATTAATTCTAAAATAGAAGGAAAGATCAAAGGGAATTTTATATTGTGATGGGGGAAGCCATAAGTATAAATATATATATTTTTTAGAAAATAACAAAACAAGAAATGCAAATAGCTGTGCAACATAGTTTTGATAAGGACAATTGTAGGGAATTAATTCCATTCTAGAAATTCAATGCACGTGATTTAGTACTTTCCAAATAGAGTAATTATGAGCTGATGAGAGAATCAATTTCTTTGTTTATAGAAGAGAAATAAACAACATTCCATATGCAATGGATCCCATGGACCTTCGACAACTGGAAAGATAGGAGCCCCAAATGAGAAAGGGCATGATTCTTTGGATCTTGGGCAAGAGGTGGATCGAAAGGGCCAAATGGTATTTTTAGCACTCCCCATCTGGCAAGATTTAAGCATAAATAATCAAAGTTTGCCTATCATTTTATTTTCAATGAAGGTCTAGACAATATCTTGGTTAGAATATTAGAGTTATTCTTTGAGGATGCAATTTAAGGAATGCAAAGCATACAATCTTTAATTTTTCTTTGATAAAATGTTGGTCGACATCCATATTCTAGTATGATCGTAGTGGACAATATTATGGGTGATACTAATGGCGGTTGTTGTTGTAATATGGTTTTATCGTTCCCTTAGCGATGACACGAAGTTCCTTAAAAGTAGTTTTAGGCATAATTAATTCACTAATCCCATTAGATAATGATCTTAGTTCAACTTTGCACTACCCTTGTGGCTACAACATTTTGCTGATGGTCTCTTTTTCGTTCAAATGATGTTCTTTGTAATTATTTGATATTATAAGTGATTTTTTTCAATATACATATTTGATTTGTTGTTTTGAAACTCCTGAAGTGCGGAGGGAGTTTCATGTAGAAATTTTCATTCAAGTGTCTTGTAAAATTTTGTTATGTTTTTGAGAAGTGCTTTGTATATGCTATTATCCGGCAAATGAGCCAAATTTCTCTCGATTTAAATCCTTATTATTACATAAATACTCATGAATCTAAATAATCGTGCAATTTGTCTAATCTTTGAGAATTTGGGGTTCATTGTTATCAAAATTAATATTTTGTGAAGTAGATTTGAATAAAAATTATCTTTTGACTATTTTTATATTAATAATTCATTTTCTTCATTGTCATTTTGTGATTCTCAGTTCTCTCTTGCTCTATAGTTTGTACTTTCTGGTTACACTTTGTTTGGTTTGTTTGGTTGTTTTAATTTGTAGAGTAAAACCTAAGATGCAAGCATTAAATTGGGAGGGAGGGAGGGAGTGGTTTTGTTTGAGTGCACTATCTTATCAAATTAACCCTCCCTAGCAATCTAATTTAATCAATTCATCTCTTTACACCATCTTTAGGAGAGAGAGGTATTCCAACATCCTTTTTGTAACTAATTTTTTTCCAACAATATATAGTCTTTTATTCCCCACATAGTGGGATAAAGGCTTGTTGTTGTTGTATATAGCCTTTCATTGAGCTTCCTAGCTCATTGATCTCACTTTATGTGGGATCTATTTTTGTTTATTCATCTCATCACGTCATCTCTTCTAGTTATTAGGACTATGTCATAACTCTAGTGGTTAATAGCGCCAGCATCCCCTTATATTTGAATCTCCTTATATGTTGTCTATTGTATTCTATACATTGGGTAGAACCTTAAATAATTGCATAATATCAGTGTGAAGACCTTGTTTTCTTTCATTTCCCTTAGTTCAATAATTCATTTTGTTAACGAAGCTATATCTCAAATGATATAACCTTTCAAGTTCTCTTCGTAGACCCTTTTCAATATTTTAACTTTGATAAATACTTCTTTTATATTGATTTAAACAATTAACTTAGTATAAACCTTGTTAGTTTCATTATTTAAAAGGGAAAATCAAATTAGCATCTATTTGAAGATGAGAAACTTGAAAATAAAATCAGCATATACTATAGAGGGTAAGGATAGAAGATGTATTAATAAAGTGGCATAAAAATCAGCATATACAATAAATTAGCATCTCATTATTGGTTTCTTTGGCATGCCCTGTATACTATAGGTGTTAATATTTTACATGACTCGAAAACTCGACTCGAATCTGACCCAAAAATTTTGGGTTAGGGTCAACTTGTTTCGCAAAATGGGTCGGGTTCGAGTTCTTGGATTCGACACGTTTGAAAAAATGGATCGGGTTCGGGTTGACCCGGAAATCCGATGAGTCAACTCAAAAACCCGTTTGAAACGGCTGACATGCTGCCCAGGTTAACCCGGCGTTTGCTTGCCTGTCGGCCCGAGGCTGCACGCGCATCACATCCGAGCTGCCCGCGCTACCCCGTGCATTGCATCTGAAGCTGCCCGTCGTCTGAGCTGCCCTTGCCCGCCAGCAGGATGCAATGTGAGCCTTGTCGTCAATGCTAGAGTCGCTGTTCCGCTGTCCGCCGTCCAGCCGTCCAGCCATGTTGGGTAGGGTCAACCCGGTAACCCGACGGGTCGGGTCCGGATCTGAAATTCGGACCCATTTACATAACCGGGTCGGATTAGGGCCGACCTATTTGAACTCGGGTTAGTTCCGTGTTCGACCCGAATCCGACCCAAAATCCGATTTTGACTCCTACTTTTACGTGTGTCCCCCTTTTTCAGAAATGTAGAATTGAGATAGGTTTTGGTTGGTTTGGCTTTTTGTACCAAGGTTTTATTGATGAATCATATCAAATTTTTCTTGTTTCCATGGCTTCTCTCCTGATCACATAAAATGTTTTCTTTATTATTGATACATGGCATGCCTATTATTGAAACTATGGGACATGCTTTGGACATGACATTATAATTTTTATTTTAAAATTAAAAAATAATTCATACAAATTAAATGTAATAAGCAGATTAAACTTATAGAATTATAGAAGTGCCATTATTTTTTATTGCATATTACATAATTCATAAAATAAGTACACAATATTAAAGAGTGCTACTTAAACAAATAACAAACAAAATCAAAGCATGAATATTGAAACTGTATATTATTTGAAATTTTTTTATTAATGATATTTTGTTCTATAATAAATTAATAAGCTTAGAGAGGCATAGTTGAAGATTATTTATTTAAAATATTCATCTTCATTCTCTTTCATTGTTTAGTGTTTATTTGGAGGACTTCATACTGTGGCATCAAGAGGAGAGGCAGTCAGTCATCGCCTCATTAGGCTTTGAGCTCGAGAGGGAAAAGAATGTCGGTTGTTGGACTTTGGAGTCAAACTTTCATGCCATTTGGAGAGAGGAAATTGGGAGACAAGTATGTGAGAGTTGAGCTTTGAAAGCCAACGGCTAGATTAGTAGATCCTAAACCCTAAACCCAAACCCTAGCTAAACATGCTAAAAAGGAAAAAAGGTCAGGAAATAAGATTTAATAGAGAATTGTCTGGGAGGAAAATCAACAATAGAAGATGTGAGTATCTTTTCCATTAAGATTGGACAATGCCCCTATACTACTGGCGAAAGTATCTTTGTCAAAATAAAGTAAAAAAAAAAAACTCTAAATATTCCAAGTATTTATCATGCTCTCCATGACTGCTACAAACCTTGTAGTATCTCATAAAGAAATGTAAAGAACTACATTATATCATCTCATGCATCAAGAATTTAGTTCTCCCGTCTAAAATGCTATATGAATTGAATACATCTTAGAAGGCATACATTCACTTCTGTTTCAAATGTTTCAAGGTTTATTTATCTTCGCATAGTTTTTCCATTAAGAGTTAACGCTGCTCTTATACTACTATTAAAAGTACCTTGCCCAAATTAGGTTTCAGTACCCCTAAAGTACTAATTAATTATCCTGTTCTTTGTGACATGTTGCAAATGGTTTGGCTAAAATAAAAAAATTATTACTCCATTATATCATCTAGCTCTTCAAGAAGATTGTTTTCTCCCGTCCAAGAAGTTTATTACAGCTGAACACGCACCATAAAAGGCATTCAAACACTTATTCCATCTAAACATCAGGGAATGAGCAATACTGCGGACATTTGAGTGCATGATCCGAGACTCCAATCTTCTCCTCATTTACTTATTTTGATTTGATTCTTGCTCGAAGTTTAAACGCCTATCCTAACCTTGATTTAACCATTGAGATTGAAAAACATCTCTATACTTGTGAGAAGTATTTATCCAAAATAAAGTCCCATAAAAACCCCAAGATTGCAATTATTTATATTGTTCTCTATGACATGCTGCCAAATTTTTGGTTAACCTAAAAATTAAACAAATGCTGATCTTTATAACATCTCTTTCATCAAGAAGATATATATTTTTTTTTCTCATACAAGAAATTTGACAACCTTCCATTTGCTCATCCATGCCTCCATGCCTCGTGAAGTGAATGAATGCCACATTGGAATATTTATGTTGATTGTGTTGACCTTTTGTGTAATCCAATTTTAAGACGGTCATGACTTTTCCATATTGCAACATCTGTGAATATGACATCTGTAATTCCTCAAAGAAAAGCCATTTTCAAGTTTGATGACCATCTGTCTTTCACCAATATTTGAATTGAACTAATTTCTTTCATGTTTCTCTAAATTTTCTTTTATAATTGACTCGAAACTTGTATTGTAGAGTGGTTCAGGAAGGTAAAGAGAGGAGGCGGCAATGGGCACAAAGGAAAATTCAGTTTAAATCCGACAAGGAGAGCGTGCCAGAAGCGAAAGTGGAGGCCCCAGCTATTCGTGGAATGTTGCCGAGTAACATAGTCGATCTCCTTGCAGCCCGTGAGAAGTAACTTCTTTTTCTTTTCTTACTAATTTGATATTTGAGCTTATCGCGTTGCTATAATTTGCAATTATTGGCTAACTCGATATAAATAATACTTCTATTCGCTTGTAAAAAACGTATTTCGTATTTGGTAATGATCTTAAAGCTTTAAGGTGGTTGTTGGGAAGGTCCTTATTCGTTTATATAAAATCTTTTTGATTTTTCCCCCCAAATTATCATCCTTTCTTGATAGTAGTTTAAAGAATCATTTATCTTGTCATTTAGACCAGTTGAATGACGATGTAAAAACCTCATTTATCACTTCCAGTTTTCTATGCACCAAATTGTAAATTCATCATAGTCTTACACCATTTTGTAGGCAAACTTTCACATCCGATTCTGAAGAGGAAGTAGTGAATCATAAGCCTGCTATTTTGAAGAAAAAGAAGAAATCTTTTGGGTATAAATTTATATTGATTGATTTAAAACTTACTTATGGCTCATGCGAGCAAGTTATGAGTAACTTGCAAATGATACTTTCCAGGCCTGAAACTGTTCTTCTAGAGGAAATTCCGCCTGCCCAGTGCTTGGAGAACTCCATGGAGTTCCTGAAGAGAAGAAAAATGAAGGTTTCAAGGTCCAATTCTGTGCTTATAAATGCAAAACAAGCTTTGCGTCTCCTCTCTACACCTGGAAATTTACTTAGCAAAGGTTAATCATGTAGCAGAATGCAAGAACATGATTCATGTAAGGCGCACTAATGAACTTATTACTTGTCCTTTTAATGTCCAGTTAGGAAGTAGAAATCAGTGTTAAAAGAGTATCTATCCATGCTTCGATAGAACTATAGAAGGGGTTTATTTGATGCATAAAGCTTTTAACTATATGGTTGTGATATATGCAGCTTTATTTAGTAGATAGGATAATTTTGGACTGAATTTGTGAACTACAAATTATGATGAAAATAATGTGGCATTTTTGGATTTTTTTTTTAATGTTTGATTTTGTGTTTTGAAAATATGTACATTAGTAGAAATTATGTTTGGTATTTTGATTTTTATTTTCTAGTTTTAAAAATTCAATGATTGTTTTTGTTTTATCGTGAAAATATTTATGAGGGCATTTTTACATGTTTGGAAAGTCTTTTAATTAGTATGTCTAATTTGGTACAAATTAGGTAATTAGATTTGATTAGTGTATAATAAGGCCAATAAATTTTTAGGCATTTAATTATTATTATTAGGTTTGAAATTAGCAATTATCGAATGAATATTAATAAAATTCTATTTTTTTGTTAAGGGTTATTAGAGATTAATTAGTGGTTTGTTAACTTTTAATTAAATGCATTAATATTTATTTTGTGTTAATTATGATAAAGAAATAGGGAATGATGAATAAAATCCTAATTTTCAACTAATAAATAAATAATCATTAATGTAGCATAATTTGGGATTATAATATTAGGAAGCGTCATTAAAGTCATATTTTAATTTTTAAGTTGATTAATCATAGAATAATTATGATATCACTTAGCTACAATGAGTATTTGATCAGGACCATTAAGAAATTTAATTAATGTAATTATTTGAAGTTGTTATAACTATTAGAATATTAATTTAAATTTTCTTTGACTGATAGAATAAAAATATTTTAGTAAAATATCAATTAAATGTTCTATTATTAGTCAGTGATTATCATTCTTAACTATAATTATTTGAAATTCAAATGCGTTTTAATAATAACTTTTCATATTTAGTTTGTTTGTAATTACATTTTTCAATTTTAATGCAAAAATATATTTATTCTTATTTTTTAATAAAAAATATTTGTTTGAAGTCAATAAAATAAAATAATTAAATAGATTTAAAAAAAGGATACTTGTTGTTTAATTAGGGTTTCTGGTTAAATTTTTTTTTTTCAATTTCCTGACTTCTTTTTAAGTATTGGAGAGTCGGACGCAAATCTAAGCTTTATTATATCAATAAAACTATTGAAAACTATATGAACAATTTCCTAGAAAGTAAACACCTCAGGTCTTTCTGTTTTTATATCCTTTAAGGACTGAATTGGAATTTTAAAATTAAAGCAACTTAAATGGCAGTAATTTATTTGTCTCATAAAATTTTAATATAATTTAAAAATGGATTTTTAAATAAAAAATATTTAATGCGGATGAAATGAGAAGGTATTATAGATATTGTGATTAAATATTAATTATGATAAAAATATTTTGAGAGCTGATGGTGGGTCCTGTCAAAGGTATTTGATGACTTGTACGTTAAAGTTTTAAAGACCTTGCTTCGCCTCACTTCACTTCATGTTGATTTTGATCAGAAAAATAAAAAAATAAAAGTTTTATTTGTTGTAGTTGATACATACCAAAAAACGTCTTGATCAAGCACGAATCTCAAGGCAAAATTGAGTTATAAGCATCCAAAATTAAATATGGGAACAACCGAACTTTGATTTCAGTAAACTTACAGTCAAACTGAACGTCTCAGAAATATGAACCCAACGACACCAAATTTGACTCAATCCAAGCTCAAATGGGACCAAATCAAAGACCCAAAGCACTTTTGGAAGGTTCAAACTACAATTTGGATTATCAAACGATTTCCAAATGTGACATGCTTAAAGTCAAATGGAACGGCTTGACGAGACAAATCCAACGAGTCCAAGATCAAGAAATTTTTGATAACATTAAGACAACCAAAGGGTCATTGAACGGTATATGATCGTAGGAATTAAGATCGGCTCATCGACCATCGCCAGAGTTCTGCCACACAACATCCAGGTTTTGTCAAACCACCACATAAGCATCCAAAGACGTCGAAGTGCCACCCAAAGTTGGAGTGCCCCCTGATGCTAAAGTGCTACTGATGGACCACCGCCTGACACTGGAGTGCTGCCAGACCATCATCTGAGGCCCAGACTTTTACCGAACCACCACATGATGCACAGAGTTTTGCCGGGAGTACCGCCCTACTACTATTGTCTTTTTGACCCTGGTCTCCTACCAACTACTATCTTTCTGACCCTAGTCTCCTGCAGACTATGGTCCTTCCGACCTCAGTCTACTAGTACTGGATTATTTCAAACAGGGCCAGGCCCCATGATTTCTTTTCTTTTTTCAGGGGCTTCCACGTAAAAACTATGTGTCTCTTATGAACGATGCACCATCTCTATTATATGTGTGTGTGCTGGATCTTCGTACAGTGCTAAGACGTTAAACTATATATTTCTCTACCACCACGAATATTCCAGGATGCTACATTAGTATTTGTGCTAATTTTTATACATAATATAAGGTTTGATTTGTGAAGACTTTTTTATTGCTTCTTAAAATAGTTTTTTAGTTTAAAAATCAAAATTTTTATAAGCCGTCCAAAACGAAGCGGAAGACTAAGGTTTCGTTTGGGATAGCTTTCTTACTGCTTCTTAAAGCAGTTTTTTAGTACAAAAGTTTTAATTTTTGTACTAAAAAATTATTTTAAGAAGCAATAAAAAAGAAGTCCCAAACCAAATCTAAGGAAAAAGTGCTTTTTCTAACCTCTTACAATAGAAAAAGCTTTGCTCTTACATGCTTTTTTAGGGCCACTTATGCAACCATGCTAGTTTTTTTTTTTTTCAAATGAATTATAAAAAATAAAATATGTATCCACCCAATGTGGGGTGGACCATATATGATTAATGAAATGACTAATTATAGTAAGTGTTTGAAATAACGATTAACACATCAGAGCAGATGCAAATTGCAATTATTAAAGATAATAAAATGTGTAATAATTAAAGTACTTGAATGGTATAACCTCATAGGTGCATACACCATCAAATAAAAATAAAGATTGTAATAAATAATGTTATATAAAGGAAGATATACTTTATTCAATTATATCAGCACACCCAATTGGATGATGACTGAAACTTTAAAGAGAATAATTATTATAGTAGTTAAAAATATAGATTTTGTAAAAAGTAAATTGACATTTGAAAGTATAAAGTAAATATAAATTTTTTGAAATGTTTGTACTTATAGCTAAATTTTTTAAAAAAGTGAAAATCATCCTTTAGAAAAAGGTGTGTACCACAAATTTAAAGAGTTGGTTGATGTAAAAAAAGTTGCTAATTTGACGTACTAAGATTATTAAGGATTATAGTTGGTGAGAAAGAGAAAAAAAGTAGAAAGTCATTGAACTGAATAAAGTACATAAAAGATTTATAGTGCTTTGATATTTCTAAGGCTCTGTTTGAGATGACTTTTATTTTTTTACAAAAAAAATATTTTAAGAAATAGTAATAAACCCGTCTCAAATGAAGCCTAAAAGTCTGCATCACTCATCAAAACTCATTCGAAAATTTTACTAATCTCCTCTGCCAAGCGTGATGGAAAACAAGTTTTGTAAAGTTTGAACTATAATTTCCTAGACGCAAACACATCTTTCAATACCATTTTTTGGTTGAAAGTATAACTCTTAATAAAAACCCTCTCTTGAGCATAAGAAAAATCCTAAAAGAATACAAGAAACTATAAATCTCATCTTAGACATAGCGGTACATAGTCGTGGTATACAACAAACAGTGATGTAGTGCGTTCTAATTCGCCTCCGGACTATGTCTGTATCCGCACAGAATAATTTCACAAAAAATGGACTTAGAGAATGGAGGGGAAAAATATCATGAATAAAATGAATGTAATACATATAATGTATTTAGTTCTTGATAGGCATCAGTCACTTTTTATCATCAACCTTCTCTCTCCTTTCCCTAAGCGCCGCCCCGTGTGATTTAGGGTTTCCCTTCATTTCCGAGTGTTTTCATGGTCGATCCAGCCATTTTTTGCTTGGATCTCTCTGGTGAAAGTGTTTTGGAGCTTCTTTTCGTTCCTTTGCCCTGAAGGGCTTTCGGGATGGCTGGGGTTCCGACTACTAACCCGTGGGGGAAGGTATCAGGCCCAATTCAAGGCTTAAAAAGAGGGTTTTTTGCCTTGGATGGTGAGGGTGATGCTGCATCTCCTTCTCATTCATTTAAAGATGTTCTTTATGCGGATCCGATGGCAGGTGATAAAATCCCTAACTTACTCAATCGATTTTTAACGGAGTCCCGGCTATTCTTCTTTCGGATGAAGATGTTCTTAAACTTGCCTCTCCTTTTCAATTCACGCTGGTGGGAAAGTTTGGTTTGCGTAGACATAATCTTGACTCGATTCGCAATTTTTTTGGTAATATGAAATTAACTGGTTTCTTTTCGGTCTATTTGATGGATTCTCGTCATGTCACTATTCAGCTTTCTAATGATTTAGATTATAGTAGAGTTTTTTCTAGGAGAGATTATTTCATTAACAACTGCCAAATGTGTGTTCTCAAATGGACCCCTTTTTTTGATGTTAAAGAGGATTCGCCAATTGTGCCGATTTGGATCTCCTTTCCTAACTTAAGATTACATTTCTTTAACCCCAAAGTTTTGCATGCTCTAGGTTTTATTTTTGGTCGGCCGCTTCAAACCGACCAGGCTACGACAGCAAGAACTCGCCCTTCTATGGCAAGGATTCTTGTTGAAGTTGATATATAAAAAAAACATCCTAAGGAGATTTGGGTAGGTTCCAAAGCTTTTGGTTATCTTCAAAAAGGCGATTTTGAAAAAATACCGAATTTCTGTCAACATTGTAAGATCCATAGTCATTCTGTTTATGACTGTTTTAAGTTACATCAGAATCTTAAAAAAAATATTGTTCAAAATAAGGAAGACAATGTTAACATTATCAATCCTGAAGAGAAGTTACCTGACACTGGAACTATGAATTTAGCTCATAATATTAATGTGATACCCGATAATTTAGCTCATAATATTAATGTGATACCTGATACGGATGGTCCAGTCACTTCTGTAAACCCGTAAAATTAATTTTCTGTTTTACATAATATCAATGAGGATAATGAAGTGGTTTCTAATGTGAGTGTGAAGGATCCTGATATCTATGTTTCTATAGACTCTAT